CCTAAACCCCACACCCAAAACCCAAAACCCTAAACCCTAAACCCCAACCCCAAAAGCCCTAAACCCTAAACCTGGGACCCAAGAAGCTTTGGAAGATCCTTCAGGCGATGCCTACGACGAGCGCTTCTTGCGACGCCACGCTGCGCGGGCCTTCCAGCTAGGCGGCATGTGGCAGATCGACGAGGTGCCAGCGGAAAGCTGCGCGTTTAGAGACTCCAAAACCCTAAAGGGTTTAGGGTGTAGGGTTTAGGGTTTAGGTTTTAGGGTTTAGGGTTCTTAAACCCAAACCCTAACTCCAAAACCCGAAACCCGCGAAGCCCGAAACCCCAAATTCAGCCCTTCAGTAGCCGACCTGAGAGGTGTCTTCAGGCAGGCACATGCAGCTCTCTTTCGTCGAGTACGGGGCCAAGCGCTCGATGGAAGCCGTTGGTTCAGTTTTTAGGATTATGAACCCAAAACCCCTAAACCCCTAAACCCCTAAAGCCCTAAACCCCTAAACCCTAAACCCTAGGTTTTAGGATTTTGGGTTTTTAGGGTTTAGTTTTTTTTTTCGGGGAGTCGGATCCCCGGGCCACCATTGAACCTTTAGCAACCCTTGTAGCACACCTTTATGTAGCTTCTTATAGTAATGGTTTAGGGTTTAGGGCTTAGGGATTAGGGATTAGGGTTTAGGGTTTAGGGATTAGGGTTTAGGGTTTAGGGTTTAGGGTTTAGGGTTTAGGGTTTAGGGTTTGGGGAGTAATGTAGTAAACTCTTATAGTCATCCCAAACCTGAAAACCCTAAGCCCTACATCCTCTCAGCCCCGAGCCTGACGTCTAAACCCATTCAGCCCTAAACCCCAAACTCGTTCAGCCCTAAGCCCTAAACCCAGTCAGCCCTAAACCCCTAGACCCCAGAAAACTAGACCCTGAACCTCTATACCCTCAACCCTAAACCCTAAACCCTAAACCCTAAACCCTAAACCCTAGGCCCTGAACTCTATACCCTCGACCCCAAGCCCCAAAAGACCAGACCCGCAAAAGGTTCATCATGGCCATCGGTGCCGCGAGCTTCTCAGTTCAGAGTCGTGGGTTCTCTCGGCAGATAGATCCTTCAAGGAGCCCTTAAAGGGAGGGGTTTTAGGGTTTAGGGTTTAGGGTTTATGGCTTTAGGGGTTTTAGGGTTTAGGGTTTAGGGTACTACGGGGGCTCTGTATTCGAGGAGCTCTTAAAGGAGCCCTCAAGGCAGCCTCTTAAAGGAAGCCATGAAGAAGCCCTCAAAGTAGCCTCTTAAAAGGGACCCTTCAAGGAAACTTTACAGGAGCCCTTGAAGGAGCCCTTAAAGGGGCCCTTGAAGGAAGCCCGAAAGGAGCCCTTAAAGGAATCCAAAAATGAATCCTTTAAAGAGCATTTCGAGGAACTCTGATAGGAAGAAGGAGGAACAGCACCCTGGGCCCTCAATCCTATGTCCTAGACGCTGAATCCTAAATCCTTTTCACATCGTAGAATTCTCTGCGTTTTGGTGTAATTTGGCATAGTTATGTAATAATGGTTCTCACAAGTTCTCGTACATGTACGGAAACCCTTGAACCTTTATAGGTCCCCTTGGAGTACTCTAAAGTTTAGGGTGGGGCCTAAGCCCTGAAAGAGGAAAGAAGGAAGCGTGATCAGCAATTAAAGGATCATGGGACTTGGTGACGAGGGTTCTGCATGATGTAATTAGATATATGACTACTTACCACCCCAGTCAAGGTACTTAGAACCGTACTTGCTTCCTAGGTCTATAGTCTATAACCCATCGAGCCCATTTAGAAACCGTCCGAGAAGTTCTCCTTAGCGGCCTTGCCGGCGGCATGCGCAAGGTGATCTTCCTGCGCGAGTTTTACCGACCGGAGGAGTTTGCGGACCTGCTGGAGGAGCGACATCATTATCGTCTTTCTTGATGATGTTGTTGTCATCGTTGTTGTTTCTGTTTCTGTTTCTGTTTCTGTGGCTGTTGCTGTTGCTGTTGCTGTTGCTGTTGCTGTTGCTGTTGCTGTTGCTGTTGCTGTTGCTGTTGCTGTTGCTGTTGCTCTGTTGTTGTTGTTGTTGTTGTTGGTGTTGGTGTTGGTGTTGTTGTTGTTGGCGGTGGTGTTCTTCTTTTTTACTATTGTAAATACTGTTATTGTTCTGTCATGACTATTGTTATTGCCAGCTATTGCTATGTTTGTCATTGTTACTTTTTTGGCCATGACTGCTGCTCTTACCCTTGCTATTGCTATTGCCCTTACTATTTACTATTGCTATTGCTATTGCCATTATTGCTATCCTTACTAATACAACAACGAAATGCTATATTACTATTACTGTGACTGTTACTTGTACAATTGCTATTATCATTACTCTTGCTATTGGTATTCCTTTGATTATGGCCGCTACTTTTGCTACTACGACGACGACGACGACTACTACTACTACTACTACTACCACCACTACTACTCGTACTCGTGCTCGTACAGGTACTAGTACGACTACTCGTTCTAGTACAAGTACTTAGCACTAGTACCATTAGCTCTACCACTGTTGCTATGACTACAACAAACAGTTTTCACTATTATTAAGTAGTCTTATGGTGATTGTCAAGATTGTGGGTAATGTTAGAAATCTAGACTTCACAGTGACCTCGTGCTTCGGCGAGTCCTGTGCTGTTGAACAAGGCCAGCCTTAAGGATAATGGCTGCCCAAGATCGTGTGCTGCAGAATCCATAGATAGTTCCTTTCACACCATAAGAAAACAATAGTAGGTCCGTGTCAACGGTTAGTACAAAGCCGGCAATGTGACATGGTATAACACGTCTGCGAAAGATCCGCTCAAGCAGCCGCGAAAGGAAAACAGTTTCGCGCGAAAGTTGTATCAACACGCGATCACATACTACAGGATTCCATTATGTTCTGCCCTAGCATCTTCAATCGGCTGAGTCTCAAACAAGCACGCGAAGCCTGTCTCTTATTTAGCTGTGTCCATGACCCCTAAGACGTGAGCCGTAAACCCTACGGAGAATGAGTTCTTGCACCCTTGCATCTTTTGAGCCCTCAGCCCTTACAGATTTGAACTACGGGCCTGTCGTCGTACCGTCTGCGTGGCGAACACCTAACTTGAACGTGTCCTCAGTACTTGCCTTGTCTCGTTCAAGTCACGCGGGCCTGGAGTTTCGAGATGCAAGGCTGTTGGAAGCTCATAATTACGCTGCAATGTGCAGTAAAGGGGACCTGC